TTTTTCACCAACTGTAAATCCTTTATTAGAGATTATTGTTGAGTAAAAAGACAAAAAAAAAAAAATAGCTGGAAGCTCGATTTTCCTAGTACAGACCCCATTTAGTTTTGACATATAACTTTTAATTTTGACTTTCGTCTCTTCAAAATAGTTTTGGCGACCAACACTAATGCCTACTAATGCAAAATCATAATAAACAAAAAAATAGCGTTGTTACATTATAGATAAGGTTCTTATTAATTAAAAACATTTTTAAATTTTTTTTTCTAGCTATTTTGCTTCCAAATTTATAAACATTTTAAGATTTTGATTGTTAAAATAAGAAAATTGCCTTTGCATAAACTGTTAAACTGTTCTAACTCATCGTACAGATAAAAATTTTAATTCTGAAAAATGTTTGAGCTCGCGAAACATTTCTTTGTGAACATAAACATTGGTATGATTTCATGCTGAAAATGCAATTTTTGTCATAAATTCTAAATAACTGTCAATACATACAAATTTTTAAAAACATAATAAACCAAAAAAAAAAACAGCATTGCTACATTATAGACAAGGTTCCTAGAAATTAAAAACATTTTTATTTGTGGCCAATACAAAAGAAGAGATCCTTTTTGGTGAAGTCAAGACAAAAGACTCATCATCTTTATTGGTTAATAAAGATTTTGTCAAACTCTCCAATTTTCAATCAAGTGCCTTAGATGAGTTGATCAAAAAATATGGAAACAGGAGTGGCTTGACTTCTTTTGGTATTTGGATTTGTGGTGAGTGGTTAAATTTGGCATATCTTTTTAATGCATTTATTAATATGCTTTGGATTGCATTTATAGGTGCACGTATCTGCATATATGAAATGGATATAAACCATGACGGAATATATAGAATGTTCTTGATGGCAAATGTAGTGACACCAACAGAACAAGCACAATTCTTATGTTTAATACCAGTGTTAGAAGCATTGTATAATGTTAAAGTAAGTGATAGATAATAATTTTTATTTACTTCTTTAGTGCACAAATTGTCATAAAACCATTTAACACTTTATGATTTTAAGGATCATATTAACAAGGTATTGAAAGTAATCGCATCTGATACATCATCTGATACATCATCTAGCTCATCACGTTCTACTTATACCAGAATTCCCATCCCTTCACCAAAATTAATCAAGATTGCTATTATTGGCTCAAAGTCAAATTAATTTTTTATATTGTTAAATAATTTTAGTTATACATATAATTCATTCTAATATAAGTTACTTTTGGGTTATGACTACTCTTCCACAATAGTTCTTCTAACTGGTTATATTACAATTAATCAATTATAATTTTTTTAATGTTTATGTACCAAACTATTATGAATACTATTTTAGTATAAACAAATATTGTAAATAGAAAATATTTAAAAGAGGAAAAAAATAAATTTTAATCCCTGAAATACTTGTAATACCAATGTTCACTTTGTCTGGTTTTGTTGCAGCATGTCCCATATATAAAGAAAATATTCCAAGCCTTGTATCTCATTTTTCTACTATGCAATCAGGGTCCAATTTTTCACCAACTGTAAATCCTTTATTAGAGATTATTGTTGAGTAAAAAGACAAAAAAAAAAAAATAGCTGGAAGCT